TTGTGTGTGTGTGTGTGTGTGTGTGTGTGTGTGTGTGTGTGTGTGTGTGTGTGTTTGTGTGCGTGCGTGCGTGTGCGTGCATGTAGTTTAGTTTTAGCAAGAGTTTTACGGCACTTCCAAAACCAGTAGGTCATATAAATACTGAAGATTAATTGTGTTATTATAGAGTAACATTATTATTCCAACCAACAACAAAAAAACAGATGGGAGGAGAGAAAAGAACGAGATTTGTGTCACAGGAATGAAAGAACAATACAGTAGGCCTACATAATTATATTATGTGTAATCGTATGTGTATATGTGTGTGTATGTGTGAGTGCGTACGTGCGTGCGTGCGTGAGCTTGCTTGCATAATAATATGCTTGTGTGATGTGAGTGTGCATCGAGGAGGTTATAAATAGAAGGTCCTACGTGAGCATAATATTTTCCGTTTCACGTGTCTGTACTTACAGAAACTACTGACAAACGTTCGCACAGAATAATTTACACTATCAACCTTGGGCATAAATATCTTTGAGTGATGTTGCTTGAACAATACATCATCATCATCATCATCATCATCATCATCATCATCATCATCATCATCATCACCATCATCATTACCATCGTCATCATCTGCATCATCATCTGCATCATCATCATCATCATCTGTAAGTGCCAGGTCTGCAACGGATATCGGCGATTCTGGTTCGCCATTCGCTTCTAATACTCGGATGCTCTTTTTTTTTAAAACCTACAAAATCATCATCCTGGACTCTTCATTTTCAGCTCACCAATAATAAGACTGGCATAGGTGAGAAACGAAATGATATATTATATGTGTATACTCGACAGAAGAATGGGGGGTTCTAAGCTTACCAAAAAAAAATAATGATAATTAATTGTTGTGCATATTCTGGGTTTGTCATATCTTGAAAAAGAATTCACTTATTTTACCAAATCACCTTGATCAAAGTGAAGAAACCAGTTTTTTGACCAGATAAATAATTGACCGGGAGTTTAATAATACTATAATAAATGCGCACCTCTTTAAATTGACGAGAAGATTAAAGTAAAAAGTTCTGCAACGGCCGGGAATCGAACCCGGGTCACCCGCGTGGCAGGCGAGTATTCTACCACTAGACCACCGATGCTCCTGAAATCTATTCTCACATCCTTTATATTATTTTCTGAAATAACGTTTGAGTTTAAAAAACCTCAACAAATCTGGCTGTCGAGCTGTCGCCAAAAACATTGATTACATTTGTCGACATCTGTGAAGTACGGCAGAATCAAAATAAAAGTTGGTGGTTCCTTTCATTGGCGGGTGTTATGGGTTCGAATCTGATAAACTTGTTTCTTCCTCGACACATGTACACAATTACTTTGTCTAAAACTTGTGCTTCTTCCTCCGCCAACCCAACGCCCCCCCCCCTTTTTTCCCCTTATTTGTCTCTCCTTTTTTGTTGTTATGTATGTCTTGCTATGTCTCTGTCTCAGTCTGTCTCTGCCTGTCCCTGTCTACCTCTGTCTCTGTCTCTGTCTCGGTATCGGCCTCTCTCTCTCTCTCTCTCTCTCTCTCTCTCTCTCT